TTTATTTCTGTTTACCCGGTGAAAAATACGTATATGTGTATGTGATTCAAGATAAGACATATCGCTGCTTACAACAATGTTTAAATTGATGATTTATCTTAAGAAATGGCAAAGGAATCAGTGATCGGACTTCAAAAAAATTTGTGTGGTAGAACCTAAAAAAATTTGATAGATTTCAAAAAAATGTGGTAGATCTCAGGTTTTGGATCAAACTTTGTACAAAAATTAAAATTAAAAAAATCTGCAAGGTTTCTCCTAAATTGCAAACATTTTAATCAGAATCTAAAACAAAATTAATTTTAGTATAATAAAGTGCATGATTGAAGTTGATAAAAATTGCGTTGGTTTTGGCAATTTTTTTCCTTGACAGTTTCCTTCCAGCTTTTTTTATCACATCACGATGTAGCGAACAAACGTGGCTCGTTCCAGAAATGCTACTTGGGATTTGCCGATTTTGATAATTCTCAAGTAAAAGTAAACAACGCTTTAGAAATTTGAGATGCACTGAAATTTGCTAATGCTTTCACAAAAATCGTCGGTTTTTATCATTTTCGCTATTAATTCCTTTTATAAATCATATATTTTGCAATTTAACACAATAAAACCATGTTTGATGTCGAAAAATTGAATATTGACAAAATTTACTACTTTACAGCTTATTTTATCCTCCCATTCTGCCTGTTGTTAGTGTTTAGTGTTAGACAATTTTTGCTCTTAAAATTAAGAAACTTATGTTGAGCAAAAATAAAACTACTCAAAAACGCCAGTATGTGGTAGATTTCAGACCTTGTGTGGTAGGTGTGTTCAAAAAAGAGGCAGATCTACAACAATGTGGTAGAAGTCCGATCACTGAAAGGAATCTTACAGAGTATATCGATGGCTGAGTGGAAGATCGACCTATCTCGGCAACCAGTTCGAAAACGCCCTATCTCAGAAAATTTTTTAACAACGCTCTATCTCAGAAAACTTTTCAAGAACGCCCTACTTCAGGATTTCATTGAAAAACGCCCTATCTCAGCTGCCAATTCAAAAACGCCCTATATCGGCTTATTTTCAATGTATTTTCGTTTGAGATAGGGCGTTTTCGAAATGAATTCTGTGATAGGGCGTTATTCAACCAAATTCTGAAATAGGGCGTTTTTCAATCAAACTTTGAAGTAGGGCGTTCTTGAAAAACTTTCAGAGATAGGGCGTTTTTGAACTGGCTTCCGAGATAGGTCGATCTTCCACTCAGCCATCGATATGCAAAATTTAAATTTTTAACATTTTTCATTTTAAATTACGACTTGTCCGACTATTTTGTTAACTAGTATACATACATAGGGTGCCCATTCTGAAGACAAATTAACCATTTATAAATGGTTGTAAACAACGAAATGTTTTCTCTTAAATGGCATATGTAAGTATTTTTCATCGGGCAAACAGAAATAAAGTTACGAGCAAGTATATGCTTCAACCTATGAAAAACGCGTTTTTTACCTTCAGCCCAGATTTTGAGAGTGTATTCAAAATTCTGAGTACCTGTGCGTACATATTATTTTTGTTTATTTCACTTCAAATCTCACAAAATCATAGATGCAAGAGTATGGTTGACACTGGATCAGCTGTTTAAGTATGTATTTATGACCAAATAGTCAAATCGTGTGAATGAATGTGGACAATATTTGTCACTTTACTGCTGTGCGCAAATGTGTGCCAAATCATTTGGATCTTTGGCAGCCAAATCGTCTGATCGCAAAACAAATCATTTGTACATCGCTATCCAAATGCGCAAGTGTGGACAAATCTAAATTTGGCATTTTGTGTACAAATGTACAAATCGTGTGATCCCTGCTTTAGACGCATATGAAAAGTAAGTCTCATTGACAGTGACTTTAGCACGTTGAGTTTTTTGAAAAATTATTTTTGATTGAGTATAACTGTATTTATTTATGTATGTTAGAATTTTTAAGAAAGCTTATTAGACTTATTGTAGTGTGGAACACAGAAAACATACCTAGAGTGCGCAATTATCAGGTTTGATAGTCGTTGGCCACACAAACAATACCTCATACTCAGATTTACTGGATCAATTCGTGTTCTTGAGAAAACAAGTGTTCAGGATCCAAAAATCTCCGTGGGGCGGCCAAATTTTAAAAATTCAATGCTTTTGGTCTATATTTGCTTTGTATTCTTTTTCAACCAATAATGCAAAACGATAAATGTTCAAAATTGTGAGAAAAAAATTTGTTGAAACGGGGCGCTTTTTCCATACAAACCGCAACGGAAGTACAGTACTTCTTTTTTCGCTCTTGTACTTCGGTCTTCGAAGTACAGTCAAATGTATTTCTTTGTGATAATTTTTACTTCAGGAGGGAGATTCTGTAACCAGTTAGCGACAATTTTCGGATCGCTATCGTTCGTTTTCACGCATGATATAAATTTATCGGTTCGAAAATTGTCGCTAACTGGTTACATAATCTCCCCCCAGGTCCTGTACTTCTCCGATCTTCTGGACGATCGTCACATGGCCTGGGCTATAAATTTGTTCAAACCATTAAAGTCGCGTGGGACCGATGGCACCATGCTTGCGTAGCTGCAAGAGGATCTGAGGGTATCGTGCAATTGGTTGGATCCTATTTATACGAACTGCGTTAGGACCGGGTACATCCCAAAGGCTTGGAGGGTAGTCAGTGTTGCGTTCATCCCGAAGGCCGGAAAAGGCTGTCATGTTTCTCTTAGGGATTTTAGGCCTATCTGTCTCTTCGTTTTCGCTAAAAACACTTTTGCTAAAAATGCTAGCGAGACTGATAGACCTGTACATAAGAAACGCGATTCCTCGTGAATGTCTTTCAAGAGCTCAATTTGCTTATTGCAGTAAAAGTTCGGTGAATACCGCCCTGCACACACTGGTAAAGTGGTCTTCTTCGATATCGAAGGGGCCGTCAACAATGTCTGTCCAGAGGCAATAGTCAAGTATATTCATAATCTGGGGGCTGAAACTAACCTAATAAGGCTTATCTACAGCTTACTTCGTGACAGAACTGTCACGGCGGAGTGGAAACAGTGCAGAGTCAAAAGGAGTACTCTACAAGGTGGTGTTCTCTCTCCCCTGCTCTAGATTGCAGTTGTAAACGACCTTCTAGAGGAACAAGAAAAAGTGGTCTATCGGGTGATCGCCTATGTAGATGATGCTGACCTTTTGAGAAAAGGGTAGGAAAGATGTCGGTGGCCTTGTACTGCTGTATCGGTAAAAGGTGGGGTCTTTCGCCCAAACTAATTCATAAGCTCTAGTAAACCAGATTTAAGCCTGTATTGTTTTACGGAGCCTTTGTCTAATGGAACTCTTTAGAGAAGGATACACTTGTAACACAGGAATTAGCTGAACATTAGGAACCACACCTACACTGGCGCTTAACATACATAGGTTGAACGCTGCGCCTGCGGATATTGCAGGAAGAATTGTCGCAGCATGGACTGCTACTACTAAGGGAAACCGGGTCCTTTTGTAACATAAAAAAGGAAAATAAAACGTTTCTCTGCTGCAGAAAAAGTTTTTATAGGGCACTTTAAAACACATTACCTCTCAAGAGCTAGTGATGGGGTTCTGAGAGGCCATTGTGCGATTGCTATTCATGCGGTGAGACTAGGAATTTCAACTCATCCTTTTGTATCAGCTGTCAAGAGGAGGATGAAGTGGAGTTATCTCCAAACTTTCTTTTAGACTATCCAGCCTTCGCGAGGCTAGGAGGAGCTGGCGTAATTAGCTGCATTCGAAATTTCGTAATCGGCTTGCGGCGTTAACTTAACCCAAACTAGGCTATACTTCTTGAGCTATGAAATAGTTGGTCACATTAGTCATGACTAATAAAAATGAATAAGTATTCACTTTTTTTTAGTCCCAGTGAAGATTATTGCAATTGACTCCCAATCAAATGAATAGTTAAGTATTGCATTAATTAACACCTCTGATATACATATGTATGTAGAAGCTTTGATGATCTCGTGAAGTCAGCTACTTATTACTTTAGTCATTTCAACGACGAAATATTTACATGCATATCGTCGTTTAAAGTACAAAACCGCGTATCAAGAAAATGCAAAACTTCGTATGTGAGGTTGTCCAAATTTTATAGGATAGAAGTAAAGTTGTTTTTTTTTTTAATCGGTTCTTTCTTTTATTTCTAAAAATCTTTACTTCTTATGTCTCAGTTCCGATATTTTAGTATGAACTGATAAGGGTTTGATACCAGGAGCTGCCGGTGAGCATATATCAGGTAAGGAATTTTTGCAGAATAACGATACCCGGTTTTGTGTTCGCTATGCTTACTTATTAAGTAAGCGTGAATTGCTGATTAACAAAAAAGCATGTGTGCCGCTATAAAGACTACAAGAACTAGTCTTTTAAGCACCATTTTTCTACGATTTAAAGTTTTTAAAGTAAAGACTAAAAACCATAACAACCGAATAAATTTAAAAACTTTATATATTTCACGTGTATATGAATGAATTTTATAAAACATATTTGAATTTATCACTTCATTACCATTTATTTGGTAAAGCAACAAAAAATTTTTATTTTGGTGTAGTGCACTAAATTTACACAAAACACTTTTAGAAAAACACACAAGACAAATGAAATTGTCAGGCATTTCAAATACATTTACATTAATGCATTAAATATCTCCAAATAACACCCTTGAGTCGCACATAGAGCAACACCCTTTTCATCCTCTCATCACACACCTCATTTGAGTATTTGTGCTTGTACTATATGAGCTCATTAAAACCGGTGCAAATACATTTTCCATGTTTTACACAAACAAATATTTCAATAAAGAAAACACCACACTACCTACCCTTCGCATCAACGCAGTATTTAATATATACATACATACTTACATACTTCTATATTTGTGCATACCAAATAAAAAGCTATAAAATATTAACATAGCTTCGCAAGAACGGCGAATTCTTATAACCCTACTTAAGGTAGAAATAAATTTCCATGGGGTACTCACTGTTCTTTCCAGGTCGCTCGTTGCTACTAGAATCATCAGAATCACTGCCAACAGCATCACCACCTCTTACCGCTGACAGCGCAGCAGCCCAATTGTTGTTGCGTAACGCTTCAAGTAGCGGAATGTTTGTGGGCAATTTTCCATTCTAGAAATTAAAACAAATAAGAATACGGGTAATGAAAGAAAGCAATGAAATATTTACAATTTACACTACATATCTACTATAGCGAAACGAATACACTACATACATACGTACATACACATTAGCACGCTTCGAAAGATAGGTGGTGTGCTAAAAAGGAAATTGAGAGCGTGATGGGCGTACGACGACCAAACGAACGCAAACATATACAAGCACACAATTTCATTTGCAAGAGGTCATAAATAGTAGATGTGATTTATACGCCCGAGCGAGTGTGGTGCGGCAGCATTCTGCTCGTCCCAACATTGGCAAGCAATTCATAGTTTACCAAAAAGACAAAAGGAAAACTTACGTAATACATACCATACATACGATATACATATGTACATAAGCGTGGTCCAAAAATGTATGTGAAAAAGTAAAGTCGGAATTTTTATGCTCTCACCTCTAGGATTGTTCTATACCGAAAAATATACCCCCATTTTTTTTTTTTTTTGTAATAAAAAAATATTTAGAGGTCGCTCAAGGCGCTCCAAATTTCCATGTATTTTATATGGGAAAAAAAGCTTTTCATTTCTGTGTTCGTATGGAATAGTAGCTTATGTTGAGAAGCTGGCTTTAGTATAATGCGGCATTCCCTTTATACTTTAAGCGACACGTAATTTTTTGACGAGAATTAATAAGAATATTGACCGGTTAGTATCGGAACTATTTCTTGCACGTTTAGTTCTTCAAAATCTCGGCACCAGTGAGTCATATGCAATCAATCGTATGCTGCGAATGCCACATTATACAAAAGCCAGCCTTTCGACATAAGCTAGCATTCCATATGAACACAGATATAAATAGAATACATTTCTGGAAAAGCAATTTCTTTCGATCGAAAAACTCTGTTTCTTTCTGTTTCCCAGTAATAATTCCCAATTGTTTATTTAACCATTTTTTCATAGTAACTATATTTTGAAGGTCCGGGAAGGGGGAAAAATAAAAACCCTTTAGAATTATAAAAATGTTAAATAAACAACTGGGTATCGTTACTGGAAGTCTCCTGAAGAGAACCAGAGTTTTCCGATCGAAAAATATTGGTTTTCGAGAATTCTGTACTATTTCTATGAAAATTTGTTTTTTTTCCATACAAAATATATGGAATACTTTGAGAGCTTTGAGCGACCTCTCAGTATTTTTTTTTATTAAAAAATAAAAAATAAGGGCAAATTTTTCTTGGATATAGAACAATCCTAGGAGGTGAGTCCGAATTTACTTATTTTGGACCACCCTAATGTACATACATATGCAAGTATATTTAACTGAACGATACCTAGTTTTTATTGTGAAAAAGAAGGGGTTTAGTTCCGACGCTATTTCTAATTGAAACATTAAACTTCGTTACGGCCATCAGGAGAATTGACCGTGCGTATGTGAGTGTACGACGCTACTAAAAATGTAAATATATGTAAGTCATTTTATATATATAGCGCCATAGTTAAGTATTTGGTGTTGAGGAAACCAGAATTCTGTAATTTCTCATTGTTTACCCAATAAATAAGAGTAAAAAAACAACAAGATTTGTTTAATAATGTAAAAAATGTAAAAACATCAAGAAATCCTTGCGAAGTTTTTGAATAATTTGGCGTTTGTTAGAAGGAATGTAAAAGTCAATTTTCGGGAGCCAGTTGATTAACGATGTTATTACCTAAGCCATACTGAAAGATCTGAAGAAAGGAGGCTTTAAAGTTGTGGCGTACGCCGATGATGTGCTATTAGCAGTTACGGGCCCTTTCTCTCAACTCTCTCTCTTTCTTAACATTGAATATCATAGATAGATACATAGCATACTATACTTAAAAGGGGATCTTCAGGTGAACTCAGCACACTAGTCTATTGGCCGGGCATACAAAAACATTATAATGTAAATAAACAAGGTCCCTTACATAGAGCACTGGGGGGCAACAGGCGGCCAAGAGCAACAGGCGCACTAAGGTCTTGCGCGAAATAAACGTTAAACAGAATGTTACAATTAATCCCTATTGATCTCCACCTGAATGAATTGGCCTTGAAATCTGCAGCCAGACTCAGAGAGGCAGGGATATGGGAAACTCGCCAATTCAGTTACAGGACGATCATCAACGAAAAACAATCATGACAAAAGGCCTACTATATGGTATTTAAACTCAGCTTCAAAAACATACAAGTGAAAGACCCATCCAGAAGGGAGTCGGCAGGGGGCATAGTGGCCGGTAAAGCGGCAATCTGTATCTATACCGACGGCTGAAAGATGGGCTGTGGTGTGTACTCTGATGAACCCAGTGTCTCCTTGCCTCTCCGTCTAGGAAATGACGTAAGCATCTTTCAAGTGGAAGTCTTAGGCATCCTTAAAGCTTTTAATGTTCCAGGAAATGGCATCGGTAGAATAGAGAAAAGCGGCAATATGCTCTGACAGCCAAGCACCTCTGTTAACACTAGCATCACCGACCATTAACTCTCAGCTAGCCCAGAAGTGAAAACGGTATCTTCGTCAATTAGCGCCTTTTTTGTCTGAGTTTCTAACCATCGCAACATTGAAGGCAACATGAGAAGGCCAATGAATTGGTGAAGGCAGGAGTCTACTTGAAGGAATCCGAGGTGGTTGCACTGCATTTTCTTGGCGAAGGTAGAAGTTAGCGAAGAAAATTTCCAGCATTTCCTTTGTGAATGCCCGGGTTTAGCGGCTGTTAGGTATAAAGTACTCGGAAGACACACACAAATAAAACTAACAGATAAATTAGGATCTACGATAGACGATATCGGCCAATTCATCAGGGAATCAAGACGATTGGCCTTAATATTTTTGACTGGTATTTAAACATCAAATTTATTTTGAAATACTCTATTACAACTTAGTTTTACAATGAGTTAAAGTTTATTTTTTTTTATTTTAATATATAGTACATAGGCAAGTCATTCTATTTTTCAAGCATGACTAATTTCTTCGAAGACCATCAGTAAAGTTTAGCAAATACATTTTCCCAAATTGGCTTCAACTCGCTAACTCTTCCCAAGGTTAAAAAATTCTACAAATACATAATATATATTTTGAAACAAATCGTTGGTTTGGGCCTGCAGTTCTTTTGGATTATATGAATCAGCGGCTTTGATACTAACCCCAGGGTACCGAGACGAGAGACGATTTAACCAGAGCACCATCGTACAGTGGTTCAAAATTAGCATTTTATGTTCTCAATTCATTGGACGCTTCATTTTTCACTCAATTTGATTATTTTTTTTTAACGAAAGCTAATAAAATTTGCGAGAAACTAGTTGAGCCCACGTTTTGAAATTTTTTTTGTATTAAATTGCAAAGTGCAGAAAAGGAGCAATTTCTTCTCAATCGAGTTCAAATGCAAATGAAGTGGTAGCCGCTTTTTATTCATATACGTGATTATTTTTAATAAAGAAATTATATGACTGAAATGATTTCAGCTCTTTAACACTAGAAATACCAAAGCGGTCAAATGACCTCTATGACATTTTTGAAAAAATACATTACCAGAACTATCGCATTTGCATCGCTAACGTTTCATGAATTTTAACAATCCTCACTATGTTTATGTTATTCTGATGTACTTGTAGTGATATCTGTAGCTCGTTTCTGTAACAATTCTCTACCAAGGCGAATTCATATATATGTCAATTTAAGAGCGTCACATACTACATATGTACATACATATGTATTAAGATTGTTGTTGCCTTTTTGAGCTTTTATAATATTTGTAATTCTAGAAACATTTCACACTAACATGTCTGGCTAACTGCGTTAGAATTGTTTATATATCTGGAATTGTTTGTGTCTCCAAATGAAATAAACTGCAGAGCAAATATAAAATTGTTAAATTCATAAGCACAGCGAGGTCAGAAAGCAAAACCAAAAAAAAAAAACTTAAGAATGCATCAGACAAAATCCAAATTGCTCAATAAACAATTTTCACTTCAAATGAAAGAGAATACGAGATATAAAATTTCGAAATTGCCAACAAACGTTAAACTATGTGGAAAAGAAATTGAAATTTGCCAGAAAAAATGTAATACACGCAGCAAAAGAAAGCTATATTAGAGCATTCATTGAAGCGGGCAAGTAGGAAATATGTTTTGGGTCGAATATCTGCACTGGCCAACCGCTGACGCCCTGCCAACGCCTGCTCATTTGTCTGCGAACAGCATTTGCGCGCGATTGTACCCATAGAGGTGTGTGTCCATGTAAATTTGTCATACGCACACTCGCATACGCGTTGCACACAAAATTTGTCACAGCCACACGCCAAGCCGACAAAAGAGGCAGACAAACGTTCCTTGCAGCAGAAGCGCCACCAGCAACAGCAACAGCAACAGCAACAGCAGCAGCAGCAGCAGCAAATGAATTTGGTTAATGTGCACATTACTCGAGTTTATTAAAGGGCGTGTCCTACCCAGCACATTTTGGGTGAAATTTTTATGTGGCAACAAAAACAAAAAAAAAATAGAAAATTAAGTAAATGACACACAACAGTAATACAATGCACACAAAACATTACGCACAAGACAACAAAAGGCACCGCCACAAAAGTAATAGGACATTAGCAATAGCAAAGGCATCATTCGGCAATGCGAGAGCAACACAATTAAAGCCTAACACAAACAGTTACCTTGGGACACAGGCTGTTAGATATTTTTGGTATAAATGTATAGCAGGACAACTGCGGTCAGCCGCAAAAATTTAACAAATTAGAATTTCGATGAAATACATTAAGCTGGTGAGTGAGAAGGTGAAACGTAGGACTCAAAAGTAGAAAATAAAGCAAAGTGTAGAGGCTGAACGAAGCCACTGTTGACAAATAAATGGTAATGGGTATATTTTCGGGTAAATTTATTTGGGTTTGTAATAAATGCTTAGTGATGAAAGTTCAAATGTTGTTTACTTGTGCTGCCACGCCACTAATTCGTGTAGCTGATCACAGCGCATATGTATTTTCAACATCAATGCAAAATGC